GCCACTGAGGCAATGCAAGTCCGCATTTTTCCCTGACTGCGAGGAACGGCTACGCAAAAATGTTGGGACAACTGAGGTCAAGAAAAAGTATTACACTAAATGAATCTGAGCTGTGAGCCTTCCGTAGAGCAGAATTAGTAATGGTCTTTATGGGGGGAATGTTTCAAAATGGCTGAGAAAATAATATCTACTGTAAATTGACACCGTAGTGTTTAGATGGAGTGTAGAGACAAGCAGGAACTCATTGATTTAGAAACAATATGCTTCTATAATCACGCCTTTGCTTTTGTTTGAATTTACGGATGCTAATATTTGGCACTCGGTTTTAGAACATTTTGATGCGAGGATTTTGATGAGAAGCAATGAGTGTTTAGTCAATCAGCTACGTGTTTCTTACCTTCAGTTTGTCCCATTCGACCTCGTCTGACCTCAGATGAAGGTTTTCGACCTCCATCTCTCCAAGACGGAGAAACGCTGACTGCTTGATCACGTTAGTAAGGAAATGAGCAAGAAATTTTGTTCGACCTTGAGTGCTGAAAGTGCCGGTAACTTTGAACCAGGGTCGATCTAACTCACAGGTTGCAGAATAGCGAGTGAATAAACGACCGGTTCGGATGACTTTCAGTCGTGGGCAAAGCTACTCTTTTTAGGCGGAATCACTTTCTTTCTTCGTTGCTTTTACTTCGCTACCAAAATTGCAGCTTGAACTTGACCGCTTCGAGTTATTCATCACAAGGCATTGATATGAACTTTGGAAGTCATAAGCATAATATTCGTATATGAATATGATTTATTGTACATCTTGTGTTCTTCTTCCAGCGTGATCTTTTCTAGAGCACGAGGTTGGATGCACGGCGTTGGAATACGATTGTCTGTTCGGACAACCAAATTGCATCCCACAAGAGCGCTTCATGAATGGAGTGATCGACTGTCAATTAGGCACTGACGAAGGTAACGATCAGTGATGATCACCATGATTACTGGGATGATTCATCGATCACGTGGAATGTCATAGGATGCCCGTTCGACTACTTCGTTTGCGACGATGCGACGAAATGCATAGAAATGATGTACTTCATGGATGGCGTTCAGCATTGTAACGACGGATCTGACGAACGTAAGAAATGCTGCAATAAAAACTAACTTAGCATCGATGCTCGTTTTTTGAATGACAACTATCCTGAAGCAGTGCAAACATATTGAGTACCGGAATGCATAAATGATGAACAATTCTGAGGTTAATGCAACTGTTCCTCGATAGCCGTGTTTGCAGGACATAAGAAAGTTTACCCCGCAAATTCAGGTAGCGATATGAGTCTTGCAGGATAAATTTCTTGCTAATAAAACAGTCACCGTTGTGCTGATGTGTCGCAGTATAACGAACTTATTCGTTCATCTAACATGCCCAATAGTCTTTTCATGTTGCGGAGGGGGGTGGAAGGACAAGTTCTTTCTGTAGATAGTGCATGATTATTTCTGATATCCCGACTCTTGGTCATTCGATTCCTCCAAAGCTCAAAGGGCGTGATTGCAAAGCGCAGAAACGCAAATCTCCTGTAAAATCAAGTAATCTAATGTGCCTTTTGAATGTCCTTCATTTAAATTTACTAAGAGAGTCACCGGTGCAGCCACTCGCTGACATTCTGGTTACATATAGCAGTAATTCCTCGATCTGAAGAGAAAGATTCAAAGTGGAGGACATCTTTGATTGCTATGTTAGCGCATTATCCCTAATCTTCACATTAGCAATCCTTTAATGAAACTTTATTTCTGCCGCCTATATTCCGCATTGCACCACTACGTTCAACATCCACACTCTGCACGACCACAGATAAACTCAGGCGTATGGAGAGGCTTGAAATCCAATGCATATCATTCGAGCATTCCCAGCGTTTTTTACATACCTTGAGGACAGTAAAGATTTAATTCATGTGCAGCAACGGGGGGAGGGTTAGAAGCCACATTGCTGGCTTTGAATCTTCTGCTGTACCATTTCTAAACATCTTTTGGCAAGTAATTTTGGGACACTTTATCGGACAGGCTGGGGAAGTAGATGCATTGATAGTTTCTGTCGTCTGTTAAGTCTTTTTGAAAGAGACAGTAACACATAGCCCTGCTGCCGCTTTGTTGCTTTTGCAGGACATGATGCAGCCCCAAGTCCCCCCGACCAGACAGCAATGGCATTCCGTAGCATTTCAGATAAAATTGTGACTTCCGCAGATTTGCAATTTTTAACAGTACAATAACACATGTCACTTCAGCCTTACATTCTGAAGGGTAGTTCAGGCTCTGATCTGCAGAAGTTGGATTTTGGTGAACCTGTGGATCTTCTCGATGTTGCTGAAGGATAACTTCCTTGAGGTTCACGTCAGACTTCTTCACAAATTGAGAAGTATCTGGTCGGCGTTGACAGTCTTGCAGTGGACATTTTTTCCGATTGGCAGATAGAGGTCAGTTTCTCTCCAAATAGTCCTCTAACCTTTGATTTTTCAACTTTCACTGATAGGTTTGAGAGCTTGCATGTACGATGCGTCAAGAAAACGAAATTCTGCTGACCTCCTACATCTGATAGTTTTCTTCTTCTTCAGTGCGTTAACTTTGGGTTTCCACGAGGAAGTTTTTCCTTTCTTCGTGACATTAAGCCTCTTTAATACCGGGACAAGTCGAAGCCGAAGCAATTACAGGCTATTTTAAATAGCTCTCACTCACTTTCTACGTCTGCGCTTTCCTGAGTATCCGTCACACCATGTGTACATCTTATACACGGCAACTTCCTTACATTCTCATCTTCCTTGGCTCCTTTTACTCTGTAGGCAAATCACGTTAGCTGATCACGTGAGTCGCCATGGAATTTGAGGGACGCAACTCAAATTGTAATTTGTGGACAACTCCTAAAGAAGACGCTGAGTACGGGCAGCAGTACAGGCTACCTTTGGCCTTGAAAATGACCATTAAACTGATGCAGTGAGGGTCAGTTCTGGTCATCGTTATTTCCAACTATCATGTTTCGTCTTTGATTATCAACTGTAACTCCGCCGTTGCTGATCCCATGTGCGGTTGAGAATGGGGCAGGGCTGGAGACGGTGGCGAAGTCTCCGTAAAGATTCGCCACTTGCCACTCATGGTATTGACGCCATCGAAAATTATACCGGCTTGGTCGTCTCCCGGGTTACAAAAGCCAGTGCAGGCTGTTAGGGGAAAGAAGCAAACAGCGAAAAGTCGCCATCAGAACTTCCTTATCGCCTTCTGCCAGACGGGGGCGTAGCAGCACAACGACGGCTGAAGAAGACTAACGGAACGACGACGAAGTTACCAGTCAGCAGCGGAGTCACTACCCGTTCGGAATGGAGGAGGCAGACAGCGCGATGCCATTATAGCACGTCAGAAAAGGCTCGACGAGAACAACACCACCAGAGGGAGCTTAAAATCGGAAATTGGAACGTATCCTCACCCAGAGGAAAAGAACATGAATTAGTTGATGAGGCCACGAAATACCAACTCGACATTGTTGGACTCTCGTCAACA